GAATCTACCATGGAACATCAGTCTACTCAAGATTACAGGTACACTTTGCTGACAAGTGCCAAGTAGCACGAAACCTAGGTCAAAGTTTTCCTGTTGACTACTTCCAACCACCATCTTTTTTCAATAGGATATCACTTCAGCGCTGTACGTAGACAGAAATAGATGACTGAGTAGTAGATTTGTTAGTAATTTTATTTCATAATACTAATGACTTCCCTATTCGTGTTTAAGCTGTCGATAACAGCTAACCGAATGTTCTAGGAATTAAGATTCGACAATATTGACAGTGACCAGTCAGAACTCTTTAATACTTACATTTATAAAGTCTATGGATTTCAAACTACATCACGAGGGAAGCTCTAACTTGGAATCCTGAAGGGAAGCGGAAAAGAGAAAGGCCAAAAAACAAATTACGTTGGGAAATAGAAGCAGATATGAAAAAGATGAATAACAACTGGGAGAAACTGGAAAGGATTGTCCAGGACAGGGTTGGATGGAGAATGCTGGTGAACGGCTTATTCTCCTTGACGAGGAGTAACAGACGTAAATAAGTAAGTAAGTATGTTCGAATTATGCACAGTTTGAAATCTACAAAGTAAATAAGTTCCATCAAGACTACAGATATGTTTGTTTATAAGTAATGGTTGAGTTGAAACTTAGGTTAAACAAGGTTTCTTGGTGACAATACATGCAACTAACAATTTAAAAAAAGTTGATTTATTCACACAACTAACCATCAGATGTAATGGTAATCATTGATCCTGAATCATCTACATTAGTCTTGTTATCCAATTTATTCATTAAACCATATTCTTCAAGATAACGAGCTCTTGATATTTCAGCTCTCATCGCTCAACCAGGTTCCATTTCTTCACAAGCTCTTTCTAAAGCTTTAACTTCTAATATTTTATTATCCATATTAATGAATTTAATGTCATTCTAATAAAATAATAAGAAAGTAGAAACATTCTATAACTCCGCCCGTAGAAAACTAACTCGCTAAAAAAACGCTTACCAGAAAAAATAATCCAAACCATTTAAACTCTGCCCTGGGAGTTAGAAGGTCTTCATTTAGAAGAATTATGACGCTTCATGGTGAAAGCCGAGTTCCTTCGGAAGCCAAGAGGCCGATGCCCCTTCTAACAACCAGAGCAAAAATTTTTATAGGTACATGGAACGTTCGAACAATGTGGGAAACCGGGAAGACCAGTCAAATAGCATTGGAAATGAGGAGATACAACTTAGCCGTACTGGGAATCAGCGAAACCCACTGGACCCAAGCTGGACAGAAAAGGCTAGCTACGGGAGAGATGCTGCTATACTCCGGTCACGAAGAGGACAATGCTCCACACACTCAGGGAGTCGCTCTTATGCTGTCCAAATTAGCACGAAATGCACTTGTAAGATGGGAATCTCACGGATCCAGAATCATAAAAGCATCATTCAAAACAAAGAAGGAGGGGATCTTAATGAATATTATTCAATGTTATGCACCCACAAATGATAGCAACGACGACATTAAAGATCAGTTCTACGAGCGGCTGCAGTCAGTTATTGAGAAATGCCCAAGGAAGGACCTAACTATTCTGATGGGAGATCTAAATGCCAAAGTCGGAATAGACAACACCGGATATGAAGATACCATGGGACGACATGGACTGGGAGAAAGAAACGAAAATGGAGAAAGATTTGCAAATCTATGTGCATTCAACAAATTGGTCATAGGAGGCACAATATTTCCACACAAGCGTATACACAAGGCTACATGGATCTCACCGGACCACACTACAGAGAACCAAATAGATCATATTTGCATCAACAAAAAATTCAGAAGGACAATGGAAGATGTGAGAACCAGGAGAGGTGCTGACGTAGCTTCAGATCACCACCTAGTTGTGGCCAATTTAAAACTGAAGCTAAAGAAGAACTGGACAAGTGGACAAACAGCAATACAAAGGTTCAATACAGCCTTCCTTCGAGATACTGACAAACTCAATGAATTCAAGATAGCTCTCAACAACAGGTTCCAAGCCTTACAAGATCTACTGAAAGAAGAAGAAACTAGTATGGAGGACAACTGGAAAGGCATCAAGGAAGCATTGACTTCAACGTGTCAAGAGGTTCTGGGTCCAAAGAAATACCATCATAAGGAATGGATCTCTACAGAAACACTGGACAAGATCAAAGAAAGGAAGAACAAGAAGGCAGCAATAAACAACAGCCGAACACGAGCAGAGAAAGTCCAAGCACAAGCTGAATACATAGAAGCAAACAAACAAGTGAAGAGGAGCATTAGAGCCGACAAGAAGAAATATGTGGAATAACTAGCAACGACGGCAGAAAAAGCTGCTAGAGAAGGAAATATGAAACAGCTTTACGATACAACGAAGAAACTAGCAGGAAAATACAGTAAACCAGAGAGACCGGTCAAAGACAAAGAAGGCAAGCCAATCACCGAAATTCAGCAACAGCGGAACAGATGGGTAGAATACTTCGAGGAACTCCTGAATAGGCCGGCTCCAATGAATCCACCGGACATCGAAGCGGCACACACAGATCTTCCCATAGACGTCAACACACCAACGAAGGAAGAAATCAGAATGGCCGTCAGACAAATCAAGAACGGGAAAGCAGCGGGTCCGGACAACATACCAGCTGAAGCACTGAAGTCAGACATCGAAGCAACTACAAACATGCTTTATCTTCTATTCAAAAAGATTTGGGAAGAGGAACAAGTGCCGATGGACTGGAAAGAAGGGCACCTCGTCAAGATTCCAAAGAAAGGAGATCTGAGCAAATGTGAAAACTATAGAGGCATTACACTGCTGTCAATACCAGGGAAGGTGTTCAACAGAGTGTTGCTGAACCGAATGAAAGATGCAGTAGACGCCCAACTCCGAGATCAACAAGCTGGATTCCGTAAGGATCGATCATGCACAGACCAAATTGCAACACTACGGATCATCGTCGAACAATCAGTTGAGTGGAACTCATCACTATACATCAACTTCATTGATTATGAAAAGGCATTTGACAGTGTGGATAGGAGGACGTTATGGAAACTTCTTCGACACTACGGAGTTCCTGAGAAGATTGTCAACATTATCCGGAACTCATACGACGGACTACAGTGCAAAGTCGTGCATGGAGGACAGCTGACAGATGCATTCCAAGTAAGGACCGGAGTCAGACAAGGCTGTTTACTCTCTCCCTTCCTCTTTCTTCTGGTGGTCGACTGGATTATGAAGACCTCGACATCTGAAGGAAAACACGGAATTCGATGGACAGCTCAGAATCAATTAGACGATTTGGACTTCGCAGATGACCTAGCCCTCCTATCACGTACACACGAACAGATGCAGATGAAGACAGCCAGTGTAGCAGCAGTCTCTGCATCAGTAGGCCTCAGCATACACAAAGGGAAAACCAAAGTCCTCAAATTCAAAGCGGAAAACAACAACCCAATCACTCTTGATGGCGAAACTCTGGAAAATGTAGAGTCCTTCACATACCTGGGAAGCATCATCGATGAACAAGGAGGTTCAGATGCAGACGTAAAGGCAAGGATTGGCAAAGCAAGGACAGCATTCCTACAGTTAAAGAACATATGGAACTCAAAACAACTTTCAACCAATATCAAAGTGAGAATCTTCAATACCAACGTCAAGGCAGTTCTACTGTATGGAGCTGAAACTTGGAGAACTACAACAACAACCATCAAGAAGGTACAAGTATTTATAAATAGTTGTCTACGCAAGATACTCAACATCCATTGGCCGGATACCATCAGCAATAGCCTTCTGTGGGAGAGAACAAACCAACTTCCAGCTGAAGAAGAAATTAGGAAAAGACGATGGAAATGGATAGGACATACATTACGCAAATCTTCAAACTGCATCACGAGACAAGCCCTAACTTGGAATCCTGAAGGGAAGCGAACAAGAGGAAGGCCAAAGAACACATTGCGTCGGATAATAGAAGCAGATATGAAAACGATGAATTACAACTGGACGCAGCTAGAAAGGATTGCCCAGGACAGGGTTGGATGGAGAATGCTGGTGAGCGGCCTATGCTCCTTCACGAGGAGTAACAGGCGTAAGTAAGTAAGTAAGTAGAAACATTCTATAAACATAAAAGCAGGCAAATAAGTAACATTCTATCCTTTCACTCAATTTCTATTCTTCAGAATTAATTATAAATAGTATTGGTTAATTACTTACTTACTTACGCCTGTTACTCCTCGTGGACGAGCATAGGCCACCCACAAGCACTCTCCATCTAAACCTGTCTTGAACAATCCTTCCCAGTTCTTTCCAGTTATTATTCATATCTGCTTCTATTTCCCGACATAATGCGTTCTTTGACCTTCCTCTTTTCCGCTTCCCTTTAGAATTCCAAGGTAGAGCTTGCCTCGTGATGCAGTTTGGTGATTTACTCAATGTATGTCCCATCCTATATCCACAAAACCTTTTCTGATATTAAAACGAGAACATGCTTTTTTCAACTGACTAGTTAGATTAAACACACAGTATTAGCATCCCGAACTACAATACGATTAACATTTATAAATGTATACTTGAATTCATTAGTTAATTATTTCTAGACTACCATGAATAATATGGAATTACTGGATGGCTTTTTCGCCATATCGCTCATCCATTATTCTCCATTACTGTTTCGCGTTTTATGACTCCGTTCGCACGTACTTTCTTCTGCCGATTCCGCTTGTACCTTTTCTTAGCACGATTTCAGAATTCATTCGATACCACGAGATCACCAACGAAAAAAATTGGTTACGTTCAACCTTCGCCTTCTGATTTATTTGGGGCGTGTTTCTTTGTAGTGGTGTTCATAGTCAATTCGGACTCGACACCACGCTACACATTTATTAACATGAAATAAAATTGACTACCTTTAGAAAAATTGTTATAAATAAACAACAGATAAACATCGAAATAGTTCCACTTAAGTAATATACAATTTCTAAGAGTAAATCTTACTGAAATATTTTTTTACATATAATTCTCATTTTCCAATGTGCTTGATTAAAATCAATTTTTGCTGAAGTACCACGTGTAGAACCAGATTTTTGACCAGTGATACCAATTATTTTGTTTCCAGTTGATTTTTTTGCTGATTTAATAGTTCTACTATCGGAACCTTGATCAGCTGAAGTATTTCGGGAAGTTGTATTATTTACTGAAAAAGCAAATCAATGAATGATATTGTATTATTGTTGTACTTTCTTATAATGAGGTGACGCTTAAATGGTTAAACCACTTATATCACTATTAATGAGTTGCGATATACTTTCTAAATACTTGGTCAGTCTACAATATGAAACCAGAAACCAATTTCCTCCTGAAAACTGAAGGACCTGGGTTTGAATCTGGCGAGAGGGATCGTCGATCGACATGGTACTACGGAATACAATTGTCAGTAATATCACGATCGACATGCTCAATTCGAATGAATTGGAACATTCGTCCATCCTCACTTCATCTATTCCTTCATCATTCGCATCTGCGGGTTTCGGGAATAGCTTTGGAATATTATATAGCGTTCAACCTACACGACTTATCAATTAGTCTAACCTGTATTTTGTTCAAGTGAATCCAAAAAAACATCGTCTAGTTGAAAACATACAAAAAACGTTATGTTGAACCTTCATAAAATAAAAGCATTGATAAACCAGTTACTAATGATTTCCAGCTTTAATAATAATTGATGATCTTAATTAATAGCGACTCCGCCTGGAATCCCCCCGTGGGCTACTGCCTGTCCTAAGCTCGGATAAACGAGGAGAGTTGGGCATGGGGTTAGCGACCCCATCCTGTAGAAAACTAACTCGCTAAAAAAACGCTAACTCTTGATGAATAGCAGTAATAGACTTGAATTTTCGAACTAGTAGTTCACAAAACTGTGCAATATATTCAGACGTATCGTCTTGAACAAACCACATTTGATGAAAGCATTGTATTATCATTCAAACAATGATCACTTAGGTTAAGTGCCAACCACATGAGCCCATTCACCTTTGTCCTCTTACTCCATTTTTATAAGTAATAATGATTACTTGAAATGATTATAAAATGGACTATTTATGTCGTCATTATTGTTGAAAATCAGTAAAATATGCTATTGAACTTTGATTTATTTACATAACTAAATATAAGTTGAAGTTTATAATTTTTTATAAAGTCGTCTCTTGCCTGATGTTACATAGTTCATCAAATTTTCATTATACTTGTACCCTTTTGATGATGGTTGTGGTAGTTCTCCAAGTTCCAGCTCCATACAATAGAACTGCCTTGAAGTTGGTATTGAAGATTCTCACTTTGATATTGGTTGACAGTTGTTTTGAGTTCCATATATTATTCAACTGTAGGAATGCTGTTCTTACTTTGCTTATCTTCGACTTTCGATGTGCATCTGAACCTCCTTGTTCATCGATAATACAGCTGACCAGGTATGTGAAGGATTCTACATCTTCCAGAGTTTCGCCGCCAAGAGTGATTGGATTGCTATTCTCTGCTTTTAATTTGAAGATCTTGAGTTTCCCTTTGTGTATGCTGCAGCATAATTTACACTCTATTAGGTTTGATGAAAAATTCATTCATGTTTTACAAAGTGTAAACTAACCATTACTAAAATCGTAATGATTATTCATTAATATAAATATAAATGAATTACGAAATATATGATTTTTCTATCAATAAACTGTGAATTAGACAGTTTATTTTCGATGTTCACCCTTAAAACGTGTCACGGAACACAATCAAGCTACATTAGAATAAGAACAATAATATACATATAAACATAATGACTCTGAAAGGCATAGTACACACACACACACCATTTACATATGGACATAGAATGGATTGAATTGATTTTCAATATTATACAGCTATGATCGTGCTGTATTTGTTTCTAGTCCAAATATATGAATAATAATAACTCAACAACAAATTACATAGTTTTAAATCATTGTAGAATGAATGCCAGTTTTTACAGATGTGATCATTTCGATAACCCAGATATCAACTCGGTATCTTCAAAAAAAAAGGGAGGTGTTGGGATATTCAGAGAAATATCCCAAAATTTATTCTGTTAAGCTTAATGGTATCCTTGGACTTAAAATGGACATTTCCTATTGGTCAAATAGTGTACAAATGTTATTTTCTATTTTATTGTTACGTTGTGGTCAGATTGATTGGTATATGAACTCAATATGCTTGAAATATGATGATTCATATCACAGAGGCTAAGACTTACATTCTGGACTCAAATGGCTGAGCTAGATAGGGAATCAGGACCAATCAGGACTCTAGCTCGTTTTTACGTGTTTTACACGCCTCTGGTCCAATCGATAATTCATCACTGCTCTCTTATCTGCAGTCTCAAGTTATAACAATCGGAATGTGAAGAAACAAAAATATAGGGCTACATTGTGTGAAAAGATGTGGTTTATAAACTATTTCATTGGAACATTTTTTTACAGAGACCATAATAACAATATAGATTATTAGTTGGAAACCAGTATTTTCTTACTAAAAGAGTTGGAACGTCATGTTTAGGGATGAAAAACGCAATGAAGGGCGAATCTAGTACTGTTACTCGCTAATTATAGACATTAGTAACTGAAGTAGAGAAAATAAATATAGACAGCACATAATAACAACAAGAATTACTGTGATAGATCTGTTTTCAGGTATGTTTTAAATTGTTTTGTAACCTACTAATCTAATTAGAATAGCCTAAAAGTAAAATATCAACATTGAAGGAAAGTTTAATAAGTATCATCAACAATAATAGTAAACAAACATTCAAAATCCTTATAATTTTACAACTGGAGTGATATAAAGTTATTGGTATAAGCATTTTAAAGCAGTCTCAGATGGAAGGTGAGTGTCGATGTTGTATACAAATGATGACAGTGTAGTTTTACAGATAGACTATCACAAATTAGTTGAGATTCCAATGATTTTACTTGTAAAATAATTAAATCTCCCGTTTAATGCCTATGGAATTATGATTTTAAGTACAATAACTCCCAAGAATCCTAAGAGTAAAGCACAACTGAAAAGGTTCTAACCTAAGTTTATCCTTAATGTAAAAAACTACTACACAAGTTAAAAAAGCAAAATATTTTAGTGGTAGTTGGACATTGATTTCGTACAGTGAAATCTTCCCATATGTCTCACTTCAGTGCTTCAGCTGGTATGTTGCCGGGTCATGCTGCTTTCCCACACTTGATTTGTCTGATGGTAATTCTGATTTCTTCCGTCGTTGGTGGACTGACATCTATAGAAAGACCTGTGCGTGTTGCTTCGATGTCCGGTGGATTCATTGGAGCCGGCCTATTAAAGAGTTCCTTGAAGTACTCTACACATCTATTCCACTCTTCTTGAATTTCAGTGATTGGTCTGCCTTCTTTGTCCTTGACCGGTCTCTCTAGTTTACTATATTTATCTGCCAAATTATTCGTCGTTTCATATAATTGTCTCTTATTTCCTTCTCTTGTAGATTTTCCCACCGTCGTTGCTATTTCTTTCACAGATTTCTGCTTCTCAGCTTTATTGCTCCTCATAATTTGCTTATTTGCTGCTGTGTATTCAGCTTGCGCCTTGAATTTCTCTGCTCTTGTTCGACTGTTGTTAATTCCTGTCTTATTGTTCTTCCTTCCTCGATTCCTGTCCAGGATATCAATGGAGATCCATTCCTCATGGTGATGCTTCTTTCGTCCCAAAACCTCCCGATACGACGAATTGAGTGCTTCCTTGATACGTTTCCAGTTGTCCTCCATAGTAGTTTCTTCTTCTTTCAGTAGATCTTATACGGCTTGGAACCTGTTGTTGAAAGTTATTATGAATTCGTTAAATTTGTTAGTATCTCGAAATAAGTCTGTATTGAACCCGTGTGGTGTTTTTGTCCAGTTCATATTTAGCTTCAGTTTTGAATTGGAAACAACTAGGTGGTGATCTGAAGCTATGTCAGCTCCTCTCCTGGTTCTCACTTCTTCCATTGTCCTTCGCAACATTTTGTTGATGCAAATACGATCTATCTGGTTCTCTGTAGTGTGGTCCGGTGAGATACATGTAGCTTTGTGTATACGTTCGTGTGGAAATATTGTGCCTCCTATGACCAATTTGTTGAATGCACACAGATTTGCAAATCTTTCTCCATTTTCGTTTTTCTCACCCAGTCCATGTCGTCCCATGGTATCTTCATATCCGGTGTTGCCTATTCCGCCTTTGGCGTTTAGATCTCCCGTCAGATTGGTGAGGTCTTTTCCTGGGCACTTTGCTATGGTTTATTTCAGCCTCTCGAAAACTGATCTTTATCGTCGTCTCTACAATCATTGGTGGGTGAATAACACTGTGTAGCATTCATTGTGATTCCCTCCACCTTTGTTTTGAATGATGCTTTGATGATTCTGGATCCGTGAGATTCCCATCTTACAAGTGTATTTCGTGCTACTTTGGACAGCATTAAGTGTGTGGAGCATTTTCCTCTCCGTAGCCGCAGTATAACAGCATCTCTCCTGTATCCACCCTTTATTGTCTAGCTTGGGTACAATGGGTTTCGCTGATTCCGAGTACTGCCAATTTGTATCTCCTCATTTCCGTTGCTATTTGACTGGCTCTCCCGGTCTTCCACACTGTACGAGCATTCCACGTACCTGAATAAATGGTTGCTCTGGTTGTCAGAAGGGCATCAACCTCATGACTTCCGGAGAATTTCGACTTTCATCATGACCCGTCATAATTTTTCCTAGAATTTTCAGGGCAGAGTTTAAATTATTAAACTTATTTATTCTGATTGGTGTTTTTTAACAAGATTGTTTTCTAAAGGATGGGTTTGCCAAACCCATGACCAACCCTCCTCCTTTACCTTGACTTGCGCATGTAGTAGCCCTAGAAGAGCCACAGGCAGAGTTTGACAGCCTCAGAACTCAGCTTAAATTCCTTAGTTTTTCTCTTGAGGAAATTTGTTAATAATTCTATTAGTTGTCCGCAACGATGTATGAATCTATGACAAAAGTCAACTGAACCTAAGAAAAAATTCTAAGTTGTGTTCAAGAACTTAGTGTGGATTACTGCATGTTGATGTCTAACTCTTCTGTAATCGGTATAATCCCGCCTAGGTTTATTGTGTCCGGAGAATTATAAAGTTTGGAAACTAAAAAAATACCTACATTGATGCATTTTAATTCGTTTTACATCTGTCCGTTATAAAACAGCTCTCACGTGTCGTTCACGTGATGAAAAATTGGACTGGTAATTAACGAATTGTCTGTATTCCCTTGTACACAAAAACACATCCCGAAGTAGGTTGTCTGTGTTGCGTTTTTCATCTCGAATGGCATACGTAAAAACTCGGACGGTCCAAAAGATGTAGTCTTGGGGATAACTTCCTCAGCTAATGTACTGTTTGTGCTCGACCTCTTCTGGAATACTGCACGTTTATTCATAGCAGTGCTCTTATAAAGGATAAATTAAGGCTGGAATCACTACAGAGACGATTTACACTTCGTATTCTTGTAGCTGATTGTACCTTAACTTATAATTCTAGATGTAATAAACTTGGGCTAGACCCTTTATGGAGGAGGTGACTCAAACTAAATCTTATCTTTTTCTTCAAACTACTTCATAAACTATCGTTTACATCCGATCACGCGATTCAATATGCAGAAACTTCTCATTATAACATACGTAATTCCTTGGCACTAGTGAAACAAACTCATTCTAAATCATCTCTTTATATGAATTACTTCACCTGTAAATTCTCTAGACTCTGGAATAACCTACCACAACCTATCCGCACGATAAAATCACTCCCATTATTTGTTCGCTGCATCGATGCATACTGTTCTTCTGAAAATGCATTGAATGGTCTAGCGCCTTTAAGTGTATCTCATTCCACAAGTGATATTTTAGGAACCTTAAATGTTTAGCCATCTTTATTAGTGAATCCCTTTAGTAAAACCACCCACTTGCTGTCAATATGTCAACACTGCCCCTAGCAACTTTAACTAATTTGAATAACACAAACAGTATATCACTGTGTCACATGACACACGCATTTAGGTAGACCTGATTGGCATATTTTGGTAATTACTTTTTTGTTGTTCCGTGCTCTCTGTTTTCGTTTTAATTTCTCTAGTTGTAGATAATTATCATTATTTCGATCTGGCACACGAATTGACCTTAATTACACCGTTCATAAATCAACAGGCTGTCGATTTAAGAAATATTAAAAATTCCCGGCTGATGCTTTGGATCGCTGTAATATATGTACTACTTAAACAACTACTGAACTAGTATACTTAAAACTTTCTTTTATCACATGTTTGTTTTCTGCACGTTTCACGTTATTACTTATATCAAATTGATCATGCCTGTAAACTGGCGTGAATTCTGTAATTATTATTTTTCAGAATATAAATTTATTATTATTATTACTGGGATATTGTGATACTTCATGACCAAGTCAGTTTCAATAAATATGTCCATACACTGTAAGCCGTTTGTAAAATCCTGAATATGGGTTATTGGGTACCTATCTGGTTCGGTTTGTCGACCCAGGGATATGTAATTTCCATATAGTCGACGATCACTCTCATTTTTCGAAACAACCATGTTTACATGGAATTCCGTTTGGCTACCAGAGGGACGGATAATAAACAGCTGTAGCATGTAGTCGAACTCAGCTATAATGATTTTAAGCTTATCTGATGGTAGTCTTTTGAATCTAGCAAATACAAGTGCCCTTTGAGTTCTGATTGTATGACTTATCTTTACCTTACTTTTGAAAAGTTGGAGATTGTGTATGGTTTGGAATTTCCCCCAGTATAGTCTAGAATTTCGCAGTTGTTATTGGTGGAGTTTTTATCGAATTTAGAGAAGTGATGTGACATTCTTTGAATAAATTAACTCGAATTTTCTTCAAGTGTCAAACGTCGTATCTTAGTGTCGACTAGAAAATCATCTCTCTTTAAAAAGTCTATTCCCAGTATTACCAGAGCCAAATCTACTGCGGTGAAGGCATTAGGGAATTTCCTCCTATATGAAAAGTCTGCATCGGTGTATTCTGCCCAAACGTCACCATTTTAGTTTTGTTGGCAGCTTAAATTTCATCTCGGGAAATTTTTCGTTCCAGCTCGGTCTTCTGAGGAATGGTACTAAGTGCAGCACAGTTACCTACCAAAAAGTTCAGGTCTGAGATATTGTACCTAACATAAAACAAGCGACTTCTCGAACATCTCTCCTGAATAATTACGGCCTTTTAAGTGCTTATACGTTTCCTATATTTTTGATAGCCTGTTTGGGTCAGGTACATGGCTGACTGCACCATGTTGATTTGGCACCAAGCCTCTAATGCTACCAACAGAAGTGTTCAAATTGTCTGGACGTTTTTGAATCGCTCTGTGACATTGATTTCGGTTTTCGTGATGATTCGCTTCTGTTTCTATAATCTGTTTACATTATAAAGATAGTCTCTTTGAGACTTATCATACTCTCAATGAGTTCTACCATGACTGAGCTCATTGATGATTCATTTTGTTGATGAAATATCATACATGATCCAGTTGCGAGACCCCTCTACATTGCTTTTTCTGCATTGCGTGCTAAACGAAGCAAACAGATGTTTGGGTCTTGGACACTCAAACAGTATTGAACGTAGCATGTATCCATCCTTGTTTTAGGACTGGTTCACCCACAATATTGCCGCCCTCTAGGAATTGGAGGTGACGTAAGAAATTTGGTGACCTATCACCCAATGTTTCTCCCTGTAAAAGACTTTAGGCTCTTCAGACGTCTGATAAAGATAGACGGTTCATTATCTCACGTCTGCAAATGGTGTGCGATTGTGACGTTTAGGGACTCAAAACTAAGTTGCGGACTTCTATAGGAACTAAAGGGGGGAGGACTGAACATATATATTGTTACCCAATCTCTTCATATTTAATATTGTGCCTCGTGCAATAATGCTCTAGTTGAGAAAACCACAACTCAGGGTCACTACGATCAAATTCTGGAAGTCAAGCTTTCTTATTCATAACAGTGACTATTTCTACTGTAGACAAATTATACTTATCTTTCGGGCTTTTAATATGTATTGAGTCTGACATATGGCATATAACGAATGTATTATTGACATAAAAACGGGGGGAAAATAATCCTGGCACTAATACTGTGCGATAATATATAGAAAGTGTTGAATGTTATTTCAGTTATTCTCTTTATCAAGCATTGTTGATTGTATGAATGAATGAATAAACAACCAATTGATAATCTGGCGCTATACTTTATTTATAATGAACTATTAGAACCTGATTGTAACATTCCAAGTTACACATTTATATTGAGAAAGTACTTGTTCAAGCTTTCTATTTAAGTTATTGAATGTTATCGTGAACATTTTAAATGAACACTCACCAATCATGTTTTTCATGACTAAAATAGTGAAGTGATGCAGATCTGTTAGTATTTGGAAACGATTCAACCATTCATATATGAGATAGCATCAATTCAATTTTGATTGGTCAGTAATAGTGAATATATAAGTACAAATTGCGCTTACACAGTCGAACTAGAAAGAGTCATGAAATCTTCCATAACTTGTTTTCTATACTTATTGTTTATTGTAGTTTATTATATTTCTAAATGTCATTCCATAGTTCCTAAGGCTTACAAACATCATAAGACAGGAATTTATCATAATCTTGTTGAAGTGTTGACGTACGATCATTCATACAAAAAATGTTATATTTTAACGGAAGCATTAAAACGTTTTGAAGAACGTCTCACAATAATAAAACAATATCCTAAAGTTCCTATTTGTTTACCAAATTCTACAATCGATACCATCAAATTATCAATCACTAGGGGATGTAACGAGTCAAATGGTGAATTATGGCCTTCTGAATCAATCAATGAGACGTGTATGTTATTTTATTCAACGAAATTATTATATCACAGATTCACTCTTTATTTTCAGTAAGAGAATAATCTTAAAATCCGAAGAAATCTGGGGAATATTACATGGATTAGAAACAATACTTCAGTTAATTTACAGAAGTCCACTAGAGAGAGTAATGTGAAATTAGATAATCATTAATTTATTTTTGTTAGAACATGATTGAAGGTGGTCTAATTTGGGATGAACCATCATTTCCCCATAGAGGATTTTTAATCGATACATCTAGACATTATTTATCATTGAAGGAGATTGAGAAATTCCTTGTAAGTATAAAATATTTTTTTAATATTTATGTTTAATATCTACACACTTATAACTCTCATTAAAGTATAACTAAACTTTTTGAAACACTCATATTAACTAGATTGCATGAAATGATTATTCTAGCTACTATTAGTCAAACGTTATATGTGTCGCTCGATTTCGTGGATTAGTTGAAATTAAACATTAACACCGTTGGTTGCTGGCCGACTCAGTGGTCTAATGGTTAAGTGCTCACGTGCGCAAAACCAGTAGGTCCTGGGTTCGAATCTCGCAGGGGAGGAGGTCGTGGATGTGGACTCCCACTGAAGAGTTCCACAATAGGACAAAATGGCTGTCCAGTGCTTCCAGGTTTTCCATGGTGGTCTACCTTCAACTGACTCATGATTTCAATCAGAAAATAATAATTGGTAAAAAGGATTGCATAATATTGAAATAAAAATGAAATGTAATAAGAGAGGGCATAGAAAGGAAATAATTCGGTTGAGAGAAAAATGTCACTAGTGAAGCAGATGGAGAGGGAAACTAATTTTGAAAATTAAAACCAAACACGAATAGGTTGAACAGGTTTCTTTTGTTTACATAGGTTGGGTTTTTCTAAATGTGTCACAATGGCTCCAGTAATGTTTAGAAAACAGAAGCTTGACGTATTTAGAAAGTTTTTGTTCACCTTTTACTTGATTTAGAACACTGAGCCTGATGTGATCTAATGATCCATATTCATAATTTCTTCAATTATGTGGTGTCTCATTGATCCACTTCTGCTTAATTTCGACTATACTAGATAATGTCCTTCAATCTTCTTGAGAAAAACTTACACCAAGCAACCCGTATTACCTGGCTGTTTAGGTGTAAGTTGGTTGATAAATACACATAGAAGTGGTTAAATGTGAGAGCTTATCATTTAGGTCGTCGTTAAATACTGATCAACTGTAGCATACTAACCATGTGGTTGTTGTAAATAATGCCCTTTATAGGGAAATAGAAATTTATCTTTCCAAGATATCCGAAGCCGTGTTACCTTTGAAGCCATTGTACATGTAAACCAATTTTTTTAATACGAACCACTTCATGAAGGTTTTCTGTAAACAGATCTTAGAGTTCTATCAGTTTCTCTGATAATTACATCATCCATAAAGTAACTGTTCAGTTTATTTTCCATTTTAAGTGTTAGGTTTACTACCAGGTGGCATTTGTTGAGTGTCTGTATAATGTGATTTGAACCACATTTATCATCGCAGATAACAAAAAGATTACTTATATTTTCTTTGTTTAGTTGTCTTTAGTTGTTCGTTTTCCGAAATGACCATTATACAGTCTACTAGTAGTTGACCAAGAGAGAAACCCATAACTATACCATCCTTTTGTCTGTAGATTATATTCTTGATTTAAATTGTTCATTTAAATGGAATCACAGTAATATTTTTTGTAGACAGTACGTTAACGTTACGATATCATTATCTCACTTAGTTTTTTTTTAAAATCATTTTAGTCCTATTTTTTGTTTAATATGCTTAGAGATAAAAGATTTGACGTAGATTTTACGATCCATTAGAGCTATTCCTTCACCACTGTCAGTAAGCATTATTATTTTCTATGGTGATTGAAGATATCAAGAAGAGTAGACTTAAAACGTTTTAACTCATGGTCGGATATTGTTTTGACTTGACACGGCTAATTATCACGTGACTTATTTGCCAATTGGAACACGACGTATATAATCTTAACACTGTGTCAAACCAATGACGTTCGACCGGTACGACTAGCCCAGCGTCTTTACTGGTCCTTTTCCACCTGGCTCTGCCAGCTGAGTCCAAAAGGCCAATAATAGCTTCCAATATGCGAATCATTTATTTCGAACATAATTGGTTTATATACCAGCCAAACAGATCACATCATACAATAAAATAGGATATAACATTTGTACAAGATCAAACCGAGAAGTGGCTGTGAACATCAGGGACTGTAATCAATAAACTGAGTATAATTTAAGAATAATAAATCGTATCATAATAGTTTTTAGATCAAAATAAAGCTTATAATAAGATGAATATAGATATACGTAATCTAGTTACTGAATAGTTATATAATAAGCATATACATATAATATTAATCTTTTAATAGTTCCCAGAAGTTACTTATAATTTAATCTTCACTAGAATATAACAGATACCGGATTAGACCTGTCTGTCTAATGACTATATATTCTAACTGATTATGCGTGAAGTTCACTAATTTTATGATTTAAGTAGATAGCCCCCCCCCACAGATTAGGCCTCCAGTCGCCAAGGTGATGAAATTACTAGGAAATGATTGGTTATATATATCTCTTAGGAGATGTTGAGACTGTTCTGAGGATTTCATGCCTTCAGTGAAATTTAAATGTGCAGTTTGAGAATATTTATCTACATTTTGATGACATTTTCAATAAAATGTTCATACGGATTAGACATCAGAGTGTATAACATGTTTATGACATAATCTACTTTAGTAACAGAATGTATAAATGGATATAATTATAAATCAAATAATATAATTGTAATATCTTAATGAGTAGAAAACCAAATATTCTGACGTTCCGTGACTCAATCTAAGCCACCTCTTTAAAGATTAAATAACCAAATTAAAATTCATTCAAGTTTAATTAGTACAAAAACTTGGATGAATTTTGATTTGGTTATTTATTCTCTGAAGAAGTGACTTACATTAAGTGACTAAACGTTAGAAAATTTGATTTCCTACTCATTGTGATATTACAATTACTTTCTTACTTACTTACGCCTGTTACTCATAATGGAGCATAGGCCACCGATCAGCATTCTCCAACCCACTCTGTCCAGGGCCTTCTTTTCTAGTTCCATCCAATTCTTGTTCATTCTTCTCATGTCTATCTCCATTTCCCGGCGAATTGTGTTATTTGGTCTTCCTCTTCTCCTTTAGCTTTGAGGGTTCCAGGTGAGGGCTTGTCTTGTGACGCAGTTGGGTGCTTTCCTCAATGTGTGTCCTATCTACTTCCAGCTATTCTTCTTAATTTCTTCCTCCGTTGGGATCTGGTTTGTTCTCTCCCACAGTAGGTTGTTGCTAATAGTGTCCGGCCAACGGATCCGAAGTATTTTGCATAAACCAGGTTTCCGCCTCATACAGTAGAACTGTCTTGACATTTGTATTGAAAATCCTGACCTTGGTGTTGGTTGAGAGTCGATATTACAATTATATTATTTTATTTATAGCAATCTACCCATTGCTCAATTTTACCATAAATTATCAAGACATGCCTTGAACGTAGTTATGTTTTATGTGTCACTTTTGAAATTAAGGGTAAGAACGTTATGAAATGTTCTTTATAGTGTCAAATTGTAGACCTCAATAGTCGACAAACTCTGTTCTAGCTATCTGACCCATTTAGCTATTTCAAACAATCACATAGTTTGTGCTAATAAATAAGTTCTTTATAATCGATAATTACGTTTGATCAACAATGAGGAATCACGAAGACATCTTATATATCCTTTAGTAATCAAATTTGACTTCAATCCGTCATAATAAATCCTCAATAAGTTTCATTTACATGGTTAAAATTCATACTTTGGTTACTTTTGTATTTTGAAGGATTCAATGTCAATGGTGAAAATGAATGTACTTCATTGGCATATTGTGGACGATCAATCTTTTCCCTATGTATCTGAAACGTTTCCGAAACTTTCTTCAAAAGTAAGTTTAAGAGAAAGATTTTCGAATAAGTGTTTATCTGAGTATGGGCAGTTTTTTAAGACGGCGGTTGGAGGTAGTCAACAGGAAACCCTGGACCCGGGTTTCGTGCTACTTGACACTCGTCAGCAAGGTGTACCTGTTCTTGCGGGAACTGATGCTCCCTGGCGGATTCGATCTCGTGTCACCCAGCTTCATAGTCAGAGACGTTACGCTAACCACAGGGAGCATCAGTTCCCTCAAGATAACACTTACACCTTGCTGACAAGTGTCAAATAGCACGAAACACGAGTTCGGGGTTTTCTGCTGACTACCTCCAACCACTAACTTATCTCAACATAGTGTACGAAATGTCAAGTCACCTAAACTAGTGATCACATTGCAATTTGGCCGATAGCATTCGATCTGCACTGAGAAGGACTTGACACACATGACATTGATCACCATCCAGTGATCAATCAATTGTGAGCAATGCTTTTTTATTTAAGGATTTTTAACTTTAAACTACAGAGCATTGTTTTTAAAAATACAATTTATTCTTTTTTTTAACTAATCTTATATATTTGAAATTCTTTCATACGTTTAATTTCAGGGAGCATTTCACCCGTATCTTTTAATCTATACACCGAACGATGTGAAATATTTATTAAATTATGCTCGTTTACGAGGAATAAGAATAATGCCGGAATTTGATACACCAGGTAGGAAAAGTTATTAAATAGTTATGAAGTTTCAATGTTTACCTTCTAGAGTGTTTAGTGTCCGTGTTAAGTTTTATCAATAGTTTATTTGAAATTGTGTTGATCACGATAGTAAGCGGAGTTAAGCAAGTTACGTTTGATATCATGAGTATTGTACTATTTGGAATGAATGTCGCCCCCATTGTTTGAAGGATTAGAAGCCTGATAACCTTTGATAAATATCTCTTTACAATTCAGATGACTAGGACTGATTAATTAATGGTGGTTTTATGGTTCGTTGAAACTAGATGGAATAAGAACAAACTGTCGATATTTCTAAACACATCTTTGCTTAATCAAGCTGTGAAGTGTTCAGAGGAATAAGAAAGCGAATTCCTTGAACGAAAAGAAAAAAAACTGTGCTTCAAATAATAGTTTGAAATGATAAATTTAAAAATTGAATTATGTAAATATTTTAATCTCGATTTTGCCATCAAATGAATATGGCATATCGTCGTTACTTTTGTATTGAATTTCTATGATCCATTCTGTGTGACTTATTTCTCTGGTTCCTTGGCATTTACTCTATGACTTCATAAGTTAAATAATAATGATCACCGAGTATTGATTTTAGTTAGCTTACTGAATTTAGCCAACTGAAATCTTTGCTTTACTTAAAATTCATAATTCTTGGCATTCATAAAAGTAAAAAGGTTTTATGCTTATAGAAAAGACTGTTAATATTTTTGAAAAACAAGTACGGATTTTCCATTGAACTACTATGGAACACTATTTCAAGTATGTGATCAGATCAGCGGTAAAGTATTCAAGCTTATGAGTGCCAACAAGCATTTCATTTAGTCTGAATTTACGAGTGTACTATGGTAAATGACTTGAAGTTTCGTATTTCCGAATAGCCGATACTCTTCAGAAGCCTCATTTAGATTGTTTATTTCAGAATAATTCCTTTAGATTGGCAACAAGGCATTCATTTCTTTATTTTAATAATACAATAATGACAGTAATCAATTATGCTGATTTAATATAGTCACTAATTAATAAACACTAATGACTCCTTTATAAGAACAGACTCTAAGATTGGGTTGAAGCCTGTGCAGTTGAGCCATTATCATGAGAGCAGTTGTACTCTTTCATTCGACTACTGATAAGTTCACCTAAATTGCCTGTAGAACAGATGATCTATTTTATTAAATACAGTAATCAATGCGCATTCACCAAAACCTTCGTGATCATCCTAACAAAATGTCCAATTAGGAGACGGTGATATAAAGACGATTATTTCATTGCTGTACTTGTTTATTTTATTTGAACACATAATGTAGTGTTAGTCATTAGCTTTAGCCCAGAATATATCTTATTCCAGTTTTCCGACATTTCATTCTATTCATTCTACTTGAGTCATACGTTGACCTTGTCAATCATTCGCTTGTCAGTCTTGATTGTTTTTATATGATCGTATATGTGTGTGCCCTTCTTATTCCATTAATCACATGTCTGTAGCTTATTTTTTTCTGATTATAAATATTGAGTAACGCTTGACTAAAATAGAGTTGGCTTCCCAGCCATCTTCCTTGAGTGTCATTTTGCTTTGCTCTGTTTCATTCGATTCATATACAAAATATATGTATTCTCAAGTCAATTCTCGTTATTCGAATTATTTAATTTCGTTATTGATTAACGCGATTTAAGTCGACGATTATATACGAGAATAAGCTATCTTGGAGTCAGATCAAAGGGCCACTAAACTGGTGAGCCCTTCAACGGACATCGTCCGGTCAAAATGAGGACAAAATTAAATGACGGGCCACCAAAATTAACATTGATACAGGGGGACACCAAATACATATGCGCTAGACAATTATGTTGTGAAGAGATAGTGTATGAAAGGTATGATGAAAAGAGGAGCTGCAATGAATAGAAACTAGTGTATGAGAGTTTGATAATAATAATAATAATAATAATAATAATAATAGTGGGAGAGGCAGTTTGGTTACGAGCAGAAAGAATTTTTCCAATTAAAGAAGTTATTCTAACTTTTACGAAGAAAGTTACAGTTACGTCTGAAGCTACCGTGTCGCACCATCGCAAGGACCTTAAAGAGGGAGTCGTGAAGGTCCAACAGAAGCGAGTCCTGTACAGCTTATTTTCATACCACGACACTATGTCATACAGTGACCACCTCTCCACTTTTTTCAACCGGTCCCAGAGTTGACAAATAATGCGCGATATAGAATTCACCGGGACGACAGTCATTGGACATATTTTAACCACCGATGTTGGGGTTTCAAGATGGTGACTGTTACGTCCTTGATCTGTCTACCTGTTATGACTGCGTCACCAAGTGTTATATCTGTTCGTTGTTTATCACGTATAATTATAAAGCGAGGAACCTCTGGAATTTTCACGACGCGAAAGTAAGAACACAAAGGCTGATAAAAGTGACGATTTATTAACCCCAAAACACGACCACGACGACGACCCTACTAAAACACGCACATTTATGTATTGATTGCAAACCCATTTCGAATAATAATTTGGATGACATTACATATATGAAACGTACTTAGAGTTATGGCAAATCACATGCTACATGTCATGCTGTGCATAGTTCAGGTCAATTTTTATCACAAGAATATCGTATATTGTACAAAATAAAATGTCATACGAGAAAACAGAAACAAATACTACATTGAGTAACCAAAACATTGAATTAAAACAGAATTAATGTTGAATAAAAATCATAATGATTAAATCAATCTAATTTTGACTTTGCATCCCGTCATATCACTACCCTCTTATATACATGAGAAAACATGTCGCGATCTAGCTTCAAACCTTCATATGATAGGCCAACTAGTTTAACTTTGAGGCTAGAAATGCGTGAATCGAATCGAGATTAACGGCCTTAGAAAAAGAAACGGAAACTATTTTATCACCTGATTGTTAGACAAGAAAGAAAAAAGACAAGTCAACAAGAACACTACTCGATTTGTTCCCGATCCCCGATTCAGATTAATGTAAAAATATAGATGATTACATAGACGACTAACACGACCGAAACTCACAAAGCCAAAATATCCTTTCTAGAAGCTCTACTTATGAAGGGAGTATATGGATCACTAAAATGGAACCCGAATAGGAAAGTTGCTTGTAAGATACAGTACATAAACCCTTTTAGTTTGAAATAAAAAAAGAACGATAACTACAACAGAATAACATGGGTTCAATAATTTGTTGGATTCTCTTCAGTTTCTTTACAGCATAGAAGTATTAGTAATAATCTTTTAAAACCAGTGCACATGTCTTACAATACAATAACGGGGATTGGTAAAAAGGCAGTCAATGTATTTGATGGAGTTTTGTTCTCTGAGCTGGATGGTTTGTTAATGGAGATTTCATCATTCTTCTGAACGACATTATCAGCACAAACTTCAGATAGAAGTGAAGTGTTCGAATTTCTCCATATGCATTTCACAGCTTGTTCTGTACACCTCGATGTTGATAGGTTCTTGTCAACCTTAAATTTGTCATTGTTTACTTCTTTGTTTTGGCATTGTCTCCCATTGGTTTGATTCTTGTTCCTATATTTGTGCATAATTTTCCTGATTGGTTGATAAATTGGATCGATTTCAATATGTTTGTTGATTGCTGATTGACCTGAATGCCAGGCTTCTAAAAATTATCTGGTGCTTTTGGACTTTCCACTGTCTAAGATTTCCACATTTAACCAATCGAATGAGTGTCCGCAGTTGTCCACGTGTATTGATATAACTGAGGAGATATCATGGCATTTGACTGCTAACTGACGCAGTAAATATTGAAGAATTATAAAATGTCCAAATAGTTGTATATTTATGCATTAACCAATGTGAAAGTTCCTGAAAAAAGAATTTTTAAATACATAGATAGATATTTCTGGGAAATGAGAAATAAAGCTAGGCATTACGTAATAACAACTTCGGAAATGGATAGAGAGATTAAATTGAGTTTACTTGTCATTCAATCTGCATATATTAATTTCGGTAACCAACTAATAGTATTCTAGTCAAAGCTCTTTTATGGTTTACTGTACACAAGTTGCTGAAATTCAAATAAATGAATTAAAACTACTGCTCTTTACGTGTCCGATAGTGAAACCAAGATTGAAAGATGATAAACTAATACAACTTACTTATTCTTATGTCCATCCAAACCTGAACTTTGCGTATAAAAGAAATATACTCAGCCTCTTCTCTCACTGTAGCCAACTTCAGGCATTAGAAGTCAATACTCATCCTCAGTATAAAACAACCATATTTGTTTAATTTGGTTGGCATTTTTTTAGCCAGATTTTTTCCACGGGATTGGGTTGCCAGCCTTATACCCAACCCTCTTCCTTTACCCGAACTTGGGACCGGCAGTAACTCCAGAAGCGCTACAGGCAGAGTTGTAAAATAACCTAATTTGACAAATGTACATTTAACCGCTCTCTCTGTAATTTAGATTTATCTTAATTCATTTCTACAACTTTTGAAACTTTCTGCCATTAATATAAATGACTGCAATCGGTCAGTCTCTTTTAGAACACATGCATCCTTAACAGATTATCTTGAAATTACCACCAAGTCACAAGTATTCATAAGGAAGATCCTGTGTTCGATTCATGATGGGTCTATGAATGATGATTATCCAATCATGCTTAGTTTGTGATGAAACCAATTTCATTTTGTTAACAATCCTTAGTTCATATACCATAGTTTCAAAGGATAATTATGCTTTAAATTTAGCTTAAGATCACTCATTTGAATTTGTAATTCCCAAACTCAATATGAACGAATTTCTTTCTTTACGTATCGTTTGTTTTAACATTATGAGAATTTTTAGACAATTAATTTTTATGCTTTAATTATCCCCGAATTATAAAACTTTTAGTGATTAAACTGAAAGATGAAGATTACTGATAATATTCTTTCAACATTTTACTAACCATAGGTCATGCAAATTCTTGGGGGAAAGGGTATCCAGAGATTTTAACCAAATGTTACATTAAGGGTGAACCGGATGGTACTTTGGGTCCAATCAATCCAATCAATAATATCTCTTATAACTTTGTGTCACAATTATACAAAGAATTATTTAGTGTATTTCCTGATAACTGGTTTCATTTAGGTGGGGATGAAGTTGAATATAATTGCTGGTAAGCCTTAAAATATAAATTCGTGATAATTATAATGAACGCATTCATAATTAGAATACGTATTATACTTGCTCCTCAATGTTACATGTTGGAACAACCAACGTTGAATGTGACAAAGTATCGCATAACGGTATTTCAATTAGATTTTCCTTGAAAAATTTACAGCGGATGTGGTTTTTTTAAGTTTACTGAACAACTGTGTTGATAAGCGTATAGAATTTAAATATACGAACACTCTGTTCTATGTTAGTGGATATATTTTTAATGTAATGAAATATTTCTAAATTAGATTTAATTGTTATACTACTAAATTACTATGTGAAAATGAACAGACCACTTTTAAAGTTATCAATAATGTCAACTTTACACCTGATGTTATCTAAACCGAGCTAAATAATCTAATGACTCTTATCTCCAATTTCAGTCTATCAGCTATGTATATTGTGACCATCAATCAATGTCATTGGCTATGTATATTTCGGTAATAAAAGACTTAAATCCACCGGCTTCTCACAAAGACTGTGAAAAGTCTTAATGAATCTAGTCTCTCATATACATATGCTTACTACCATTAAGATAGATTTGTGGAAATTATTTAAACTACTATTCTAATGATAACCATGTCACTACCGTAGAACGGAATTCTGAAAATTCTAGAGAGAAGATTATCGTGTACAAATACTTAATCAAGAAATCATCATGTTGTATCCTGATAGAAATAATGATTGGTAATTTTTGGGATCCATTTATGGACTAATACTATGCGTACATTTTTTATCGTATAGTTGTTATGGAACTAAACTGTTCATATTCATGTCGATCTTATTATAAGTTTTGATTTGACCTATGAACTATTACTACACGGTTTACCATTCATGAACTGTTCCCTGTCTGTTAATCGCTACCTCCCTCATTCACAGACACATCTGGCTAATTCTTGTACAAATGTTGTTCATATTTTATTGGTACGTTGTGGTCTGTTTGTTTGATATATAATCTCAGTATGCTTGAAATACAGTGATTCATATCTCAGAGGATGAGACTTGCGTTCTGGACTTAACTGACTGGGCTAGACAGGAAGCATGTCGAATTAGCATTCTAGACTGCTCATACGGTTTTACATGTCATTGATCTGATCAATAAGTCACTGCTCTCTAATCAGCGGTCACAGTTATAACACATCACTCATGACCAGATGAAAAACGTTTGCTTCAACTTTTTAAACTCCAATCAATTTACAAATTTAGCTTCTGCCTAAACATACCTTTAAATATAAAATAACACATACTTTTATCTGAAGCGCTGTGACCATACAAACTTTAGATTCAATCATTTCATCAAATTGATTGAACATACCATGCATATTTCGAAGAATTGTTAATAAGTAAACTAAAACTCTGTCATAATTCTGACCGAAACATCGATGTTTCTTCTACTAATCGTTTTCAGATATCAGCGAACAAGTAATACTGGTATGTTCAGAATCAACTGACATAACTTTTTTTTCATGATATCTCTTTTTAACTTATAACTTGGAATATTTCTCTATTCTAGATGTCATATGGGAATATTCCCTACCTCTAGAATGATATACAAAGGGAGCATTTATTCTTTTCAATGTTTTAAATTATTGTAATATATTTTGCATTATTTTTATTGATACTAGGCGTTCCAATCCTTCAATTATTGAATTTATGAAAAAAATGAAATTTGATGATGATTATCACCGCCTGGAAGGCTACTACATAAATAATTTAATCCAAATTATCAATGATGTCAAACCACCTGAACGAAATATTACTCCAATTGTGTGGCAAGAAATATTTGAAAATGGATTTAGAGTGAGTACATCATACTTTATGATTTATATAAAAAGTAAATCTAACCTAATGATTATTAGATAACGAGTTACCTTCTGTACAAATCACACTTGAATAAGGTACATGACATTACGTCCTTTAATTCAGATAATATTTCAATCAGCTGAAGATATTCCGCTTTTGCAATGACATTTGATCAAGATTCTTTGTGCTGAATAACAAAGAAGGGCAATAGGTTCCCTAAGGTGGTGCTTGGAGGTAGCCAACAAGAGAGCTTGGGCCTAGGTTTCGTGTTATTTGGCACTCGTCAGGAAAGCGTACTTGTAATCTTAAGGAAGTACATGTTCCCTGACGAATTCGACCTGTATCACCCAGCTTCACAGTCAGTGAGATCTCATCAAGATACTAAGAAAAAGAAGATCTAAGGAAATGTGAGAACTACAGAGGCATCACACTACTGTCAGTACCAGCGAAAGTATTTAACAGAGTGGTGCTGAACCGGATTAAACACCCAGTAGACGCCCAACTTTGAGATCGACAGGATGAATGAAGGAAGGATCAGTCGTGCATAGACCAAATTGCGACACTATGGATCATCGTCGAACAATCAGTTGAGTGAAACTCGTCATTATACATCAACTCCATTGATTATGAAAAGGCGTTTGACAGTGTACAAAAGAAAACATGATGAAAACTTCTCCGGCATTATGGAGTTCCTGAGAATATTAATAAGATTATCCAGAACTCATACGATGAACTACAGTGCAATGTCGTGCATGGAAGACAGCTAACAGATGCATTCCAAGTAAGGACCAGAGTCAGACAAGATTATCTACTTTCCCCCTACCTCTATCAGCTGGCGGGTGACTGGATTATGGAGACCTTGACATCTGAGGGAAAACACGGCATACAACGGACAGCTCAGAGCCAATTAGACGATTTAAACTTCACAGATGACCTAGCACTTCCATCCCATACACACCAACAAATGCAGATTAGGAAAACTAGTGTAACTAAAGCCTCTCCAACAGTAGGCTCCAACATACATAAGAGGAAAGTGACATTCTTAAATACCACGCAGAGAATACCAACCCAACCACACTTGATGAACAAGCTCTGAAAGATGTGAATTCTTTCCCGTATATGGACAGCGTCATCGATGAAAAAGGAGAATCCGATGCACATCGAAAGCTGAGGATTGGCAACCAAAGTTGTTGAAGGTGTTACTAAAATACTTCTACTTATTCACTGATCTTTTGGTTAATGCAAAGCTTTTGCTATAGAAAATAAATGTAGTTTTAAGTTTAAAGGGATGTTTATCGATCAGAGAAAATGAAGGTCTTAATTTCCAACACTTTGATAACTTTTCGTCAGATTTAAATGTGATTTGACATAGTTTTGAAAATTATATGTGCATTTGTATACGTCAGTCAACCCATTCATTTTTTTTCTTTTATTGATTTCAGGGCGATAAATCAACAATAATTCATGTGTGGAAAGACTTATTTTGGGAATCTGTGGTGAAAAATGTTACTAAAGCAGGCTATAGAGTACTATTCTCAGCTGATTGGTACCTGAATTACATTTCTTATGGTGATGACTGGAGGTACCACTATCGTGTTGATCCGAGAGATTTCGGAGGTATTTTCAAAATATTGTCATCTACACACTTTGTTCATTTCTCATGTTTGTTGCACATTGGTCGCTTTTTCTTAGTGATCAAAGTTTTTTTAATGAATGAAAAGATTTACAAGAATTTTCATAGGGAACTGATTCCACTTTTCCACCTCAATTGATTGATAAAATGCTAGAATTATTGATTAAGTTAAAATGCTGGAATCCTCTGAATCGTAATGAAATAGACTTTGCAAGATCGGGCATTTAAGCGAGCAGGTAATTACATCAGTATGTATAAATTATGGCTCATGTAGTAACAAAAGTGGATCCTTGGACTTCAAGTCACAATAAAGTGCATCTAAAATAGCTTTTGTAATAAAATTCTAAATGTGTGCCACATTTCTGTTACTCCATGATCTAAAGATAAAATGCGTGAAGACCTTAGGTTCAATTTCTGGACTGATCATATATCTCCACTCCTGATAAGCCATATACCACTAAGTAACAAATGCTTAGTCCCTCTTAGTTGTTAATTGTTCATCAACATTTGAAAGTTTGTGGCATGATTTAGTGAGAAAATGATAAAGTTATTAGAAAAACATATTTGCTTGAGAATATTAGCATTTTATCAAGGTAAATTATTCATTCAGACCTTATAGAACGATAAGTCGAAGTATAGAATATCGACCATAATTAAACGTGATTTAGAAGTAAAGAATGATGAAATTATTTCACAGGTATTTCGATTTTCAAGCTTTATGTTGCAGTTAAAAATGAACTGTAGAAAACCTTACTGTTTACAAGGTTTGTAACCATATTGTTAATGCTAAACTAAACTTATCCGATTGACCTAGTCCGGGTGATTTAAATTATAACTTTACTACTGTGCAAAACAATTTAACAATAGTCGATGTATGTTAGATCACAGTTGAAAACCTAGAAGCACTGGTCGGCCATCTCGTTCTAGTATGGGACTCGTGAGCAGTGTACAACCACAATCCCTCACTCAAGTTTTGAATCCAGAATCCACAGTCTCGCGCGCGAACACCTAACCCCTGGACTATTGAGAAGACATCCAATGGTATTATTGTCAATTTTAAGTGAGAAGCCGTGCTCAGTGGAGCTAATCCATGTCGGGTATGAGGCAGTTACCCACCGAATAAAATGGAAGATGGTTGTATAATATCACGGATGGATTGACGTTAGACATTAACATCGTTTGATCCTGGTTCAGTGGTCTTGAGACTGAGTATTCGCGAGCCAGACCGCTGTTGCTGGGCGGTTCTATACTACGACCAATTGACTGTCCGTTATTTGGAGGTTTTCATTGGTGGTCTAACACAAATCGATCCTTGATCTCAATCAAAACTCAACACTCTTCACAACCACGTACTGATAACAACAGTAATCATTTACTGAATACACCTAAATCGCCTTCGAGAAATATTTAATATTTGTTAGTCTCAGATCAAAATACAATTGTTTGTATGACTTATGGATTCTCCTTCACACTTATTTTTGTTTTATAGGTAGTAAGGATGATGCGAAATTGGTTATTGGAGGTGAAGCAGCTATGTGGGGTGAATATGTGGATGACACGAATTTGTTTAGTCGATCATGGTTAGTAAATAAGTACATATTGCATAATTAAGCTAATGAATTTGTGTTGATTGTTCAGAGTGGAGTTAGTTCTTACCAGTGAGAAATATCAACTGAAGGAATATTGAACATTGAGAAACACAACACAAGTATCTAGACTCTCTTTATAAACCTTAAGTTGTGTTCATCAACTCTAAGCAAAAGGGGCTCGAATCAAGAATATTCAGATTTTCTATCGAGCACCAATCCATTAGGTCAACGGCTTAGATTAACTTTTTATATATGATTTATTGGACTTTGTTAATTATGTCTTTTAACTAGAATTCCAAGAAATTTATATGGAATTAGTCACTATTAATCACACATTTATGATTTTTTTAATGCTTATTCACTGATATTCAGTTTAATTAAGTGACACTTTATCATTCCGGATGATACAGAATGGTTGTAGCGCCACTTCATGAGCTGATCAAAGTTGAAAAATTGGATTATTAGATGTGACTTTAGTGATCTAAACACATCGTGCTAGCTGCAATGTCTAATTTATACGAAAATGTTAAATCAATCAAGGCAATTTGGGTCAATTATCCCAATGAAATAGAATAAGTCTCTAGGTAAAAGTACAAGTTGATAGTAGGAAGACAGATGAACTGATAATAGTAAGAATAATAAAATACAATAACAAAACTCTTATCAATAATTAATCGTTGGAAATAGAAGGTCAAATAAACATGGATAAATCGACTAGGAATAGTCAACACCAAAACATTAACATCATTACGTAATAAGATGTGGGTAAATAATTAGATAGTGAAGAATACAAAGAGGCGGAGAATTACAAACAAATAATGGATGTGAAAAGTACAACAATCGATCATATCTTTGTTCGCAGAATTGCAAACTTAGAATGGAATCAAGCAAATGATGATGAAGTTAAACACATGGTAGTAGTCAAATATAGATCCGTTGATGAGATTATGAATATTTAGAGACTGTAATGACCTAAATATGTATTATGTAAGTCCAACCGCAGCCTATATCGATACCCAGAAGTGGCCCACAAGTCAAGATATGATATCATTCCATGAAGCAATTGACTGTTAATTTGAGCCATATTGGTAAGCGTAAATTACACAGTTGGATCCATTATGACAGTCCTAATCAGTGAATGATTAACCTTAGGCGGCGTGACTTAAAATGTATGAGAATGGAGATGTATTGACTTTTTGCCAGTTCACAGTTACTTAGTTACAAAATCATTACTTACTTTAGATTTATTTGTAAACACATTCTTTCCCGAATGGTTTTGTACATCTTATTTGTTTCACAATGACTAATACTACTATTTCTACTAGTGTATTCATCTAATTAATTTCATCTCTCTGTGCTGATACGGTGCTTCAATTTATGCCTATGGACATACGTCCCATGTCCTGGCTTTGCTTACAAACCAGTGACTGAGCCTAATGGCTTATTTTTCCAATGTTGATCACAACAGTTCCGTCCTATCAGGCCAACCTAGAATGGTCAATACATGAATTCTAAAAGTTTTTCTCAACTGATATAAAATAGGAACCTCATTCACTTTCTCTATACGAGAGCTAGACAAATCCGAACCAAATATACAATCTATGTCGAACATGATAAATTAATTCAGACACCTATCAGCAACATATATCTATCTAAATTAATTGGGAAAAAATTGAGGCCGAAAAAACAACTTGAAAGTATGCTCATAACACCAGAGAAAACTACATTCAAGTACATTCCGAAATTCCGAAGCCAGACTTTTGAGATCTCTGAGAAAAACATAATCTTTTTTTTATTTTTAAGTTTGATGAAAGAATAGTTTTATTAACAAACCTGAATTAACCGAATTTTATCATTGAAGGTCACTCGTCTCCACTTTGAATTGTCGGCCACTCCTGGTCACGTGACATGCACGGCGTTGTCCATATCACGGTCATTGGTCAGGACCTTGATTGTCGGCGGCCGTTGGTCACGTGTCACGTCCTTGTCCCTCTCAAGGTCATTGACTTCGAACGGACCATGTCGACAAACGATCCCTCACGCCAGATTCAAACCCAGGTCCTTCAGTTTTCAGGATAAATTTGGTTTCCGGTTTCATATTGTAGACTGACCAAGTATTTAGAAAGTATATCTCAACTCATTAATAGTGATATAAGTGGTTTAACCAATTAAGCATCACCTCATTATAAGAAAGTACAACAATAATACAATATCATTCATTGATTTGCTTTTTCAGTAAATAATACAACTTATCGAAATACTTCAGCTGATCAAGGTTCCGATAGTAGAACTATTAAATCAGCAACAAAATCAACTGGAAACAAAACAATTGATATCACTGGTCAAAAATCTGGTTCTACACGTGGTACTTCAGCAAAAATTGATTTTAATCAAGCACATTGGAAAATAAGAATTATATGTAAAAAAAATTTCAGTAAGATTTACTCTTAGAAATTGTATATTACTTAATTGGAACTACTTCGATGTTTATCTGTTGTTTATTTATAACAATTTTTCTAAAGGTAGTCAATTTTATTTCATGTTAATAAATGTGTAGCGTGGTGTCGAGTCCGAATTGACTATGAACACCACTACAAAGAAACACGCCCCAAATAAATCAGAAGGCGAAGGTTGAACGTAACCAATTTTTTTCGTTGGTGATCTCGTGGTATCGAATGAATTCTGAAATCGTGCTAAGAAAAGGTACAAGCGGAATCTACAGAAGAAAGTACGTGGGAACGGAGTCATAAACCGCGAAACAATAATGGAGAACAATGGAAGAGCGATATGGCGAAACAGCCATCCAGTAATTCCATATTTTCCATGGAAGTCTAGAAATAATTGAATAATGAATTCAAGTATACATTTATAAATGTTAATCAAAGCATAGCATAAAACTCTTCAACAGTGCACATCCACGATCCCGCCTCACGAGATTCGAACTCAGGACACACCAGTTTCGCGCGCGAGCACCCAAAAGTCTTAACGTCTAACTTCAACTAATCCAAGAAATTCAGCGACATATTCACCATTGTTTTCGCTGAAATACTATCTCATAACAGACCCGGTTGAACTTCACTGGTCATTGCTTCTCACTAGAACTCCATGAAATATCTCTTGAAACCAGTCACTAGTGAACGTATATTGATTATTATCAGAAGGGGTTTTTATAGATATTATAGTAATCTTAATATTTGAGATCATGAGTTCTCGTTTTATTGGTTGGTATAACTGTCATATTGTACTGGGCTGTTTCTTCCTTTTGTTATTTGTACCTAACGTTGATTGTTCATTGTTGCTTTCAAAATAGCAATTGAAACGTTTTCAGATTGTCTACAAGGATCATGCAATAGATTTTTCATTCACTGTAATGCTGCAGTTGATGGTGAGACTCTGAGAGATGTGGAATCCTTCATATATCTGGGAAGCATCATCGATGAACAAACAGGATTCGATGTAGACGTAAATATGAGGATCGGCAAAGCAAGGTCCGCATTCCTGCTGTTGAAAAACATATAGAATTCAAAATATTATTATCCTTTTCACTTAATTGTGACTTTTATAGCATCAATCTAAACAATAACTGCACAAACATTCATTCTACCGTCATATCTTACTACAATTTTTTGTTACTAATTAGACGATACACACATAGTGGTTTATTCATGTTCTGTGTTTATAAACACGCCTATTACACTGTTTGCGTATTTCACGTCTCCTTTATTTCTATTCTCTTATTTACTCCATTTCCTTCTTCAAAACTCAATTCAATATTCATCTCAATTACAAAGACCCGATTTATTATTATTAATATACTACTATTATTATTCTAAATTTTTTTTCTTAAATATGCCAAGTATAACGCTGACATTATTGAAAATTGTGTATTTTTGCATCATCTGAAGAAACCCGAAATGGTTTCTTCACAACACTTATGTACCCATAAAATGTTTGTGAATAATAATAATAATAATAATAATAATAACTGTCCGTAAGCCAATATAAAAGTCACAATCTTCAATACGAACGTCAACACAGTTCTACTATACGGAGCTGAAACTTCGAGAACTACTACAACCATCAACAAAAACATACAAGTATTTCTAAATAATTGTCTATGCAAGATACTCAACATCCATTGACCGGATGCCATCAGCAACAGTCTATTGTGTGAGAGAACAAACCAGCTTGCAGATGAAGAAGAAATTATGGAAATACATTGGATGTGGATAGGACATACATTGAGGAAATCACCAAACTGCATCACGAGGCAAGCGCTACCTTGGAGTTCTAAAGGGAAGCGGAAAAGAGGAAGGTCAAAGAACACATTATGTCAGGAAATAGAAGCAGATATGAATAATAACTGGAAAGAACTGGGAAGCATTGCCCAAGACAGGTTTAAATGGAGAGTGCTTGTGGGTGGCCTATGCTCGTCCATGAGGAGTAACAGGCGTAAGTAAGTAAGTAATTAACCAATACTATTTATAATTAATTCTAAAGAATAGAAATTGAGTGAAAGGATAGAATCTTACTGATTTGCCTGCTTTTATGTTTAACGAATGTTTCTACTTTCTTATTATTTTATTAGAATGACATTAAATTCATTAATATGGATGATAAAATATTAGAAGTTAAAGCTTTAGAAAGAGCTTGTGAAGAAATGGAACCTGGTTGAGCGATGAGAGCTGAAATATCAAGAGCTCGTTATCTTGAAGAATATGGTTTAATGAATAAATTGGATAACAAGACTAATGTAGATGATTCAGGATCAATGATTACCATTACATCTGATGGTTAGTTGTTTGAATAAATCAACTTTTTTTAAATTGTTAGTTGCATGTATTGTCACCAAGAAACCTTGTTTAACCTAAGTTTCAATTCAACCATTACTTACTAACAAACATATCTGTAGTCTTGATGGAACTTATTTGCTTTGTAGATTTCAAACTGTACATAATTCGAACATACTTACTTACTTATTTACGTCTGTTACTCCTCGTCAAGGAGAATAAGCCGTTCACCAGCATTCTCCATCCAACCCTGTCCTGGACAATCCTTTCCAGTGTCTCCCAGTTGTTATTCATCTTTTTCATATCTGCTTCTATTTCCCAACGTAATTTGTTTTTGGCCTTTCTCTTTTCCGCTTCCCTTCAGGATTCCAAGTTAGAGCTTCCCTCGTGATGTAGTTTCAAATCCATAGACTTTATAAATGTAAGTATTAAAGATTTCTGACTGGTCACTGTCAATATTGTCGAATCTAAATTCCTAGAACATTCAGTTAGCTGTTATCGACAGCTTAATCACGAATAGGGTCATCTATAAATTATAATCTCATCAGTTTTTGTTTTATTAAATATTCTAGATGAAGTTTTCTTCAGTAAACTAAATCATTTGGTTATGAAGATTTCGTCGCCTCTCTGACCTTTATTATCAGTTATGAAATGTCTACATTTCTCCACATATAACTCATAGATTAGATCTTGATGTTGATTAGTTTCTAATTGATTATATCTCTGATTGACGAGACTCTATGGACGACCTTTGAACGAATCTTCAATGTTCTTCACCAATGTATATATTACAAAAAAACCCAGAGAATTAAAGTGGTTCGAAGACTAATCACGGTTTGAAAAAGATTCAGAGGTACTGAAATAATAGTACATACGAAAGAGGGACTCATCCATTATGGCTCTATAATAGTCAACCTCTCGAGCCATGATAGGATCGTCAGAACCTTTTTACCTTCAACCACATAACTTCAATATTGTCAGTGTGTACTCCAGTTGTAGGGTCCACAAAATAACGCTTACAAATAACGACATTATGCACATATCCAAGTTTTTGAAGGTAACCGTATTCATCAGGTACTGAGGATAGCGTCATCACCATGACATTTTTCAAACACTTCTGATTAACTCGTTCATAAATTAGAGGCTCATTCTGTCATTTAGTTTGGATATTTATTGTTCAATAATATGTACTTAAGATTGTGTTATCTTCATTCTTTTCTCCTCATTTTATTCTTTTCTTTTTTTTAATCAATAGTTCGAAACTGACGAAGTACACTATAAATATTACGAAATGTGTATGAATGATAGAAATAATATAATAAAACAATATAAAAATAATAAAGAAACATCATGTAATCAAACAATGATTGAACATAGTGATAATACAGAACCAATTCTAAATAGAAATGAAAATGTAAAAAAATAGCAAAAGAATTAAAACATCAAGAAGTTCCAAAAGTCGATCGAATTCAAATCAACGAAGAAAATGAGGGAAAAAATAAATTAACTGTTTGTTTTACTCTCTTGTTTGTTCTACCTCTCTCCCCCGTCATCGTCGCCATGGAATCCTGGATGCGCACTGCCGCTGAGGTGTCCCATGCTAGGACTTAACGGCTGTCCAGTGTTTCCAGGTTATCCATGGTGATCTAGCTTCAAATGACTCATGATTTCAATCAGTGAAATTTCTAATGGTCTCCACAAAACCTTTTCTCATATATTGTTATATGTTTAGAAAATAATATATATATATATATATATATATATATATATATATATATATATATATATATATATATATATCGTTAGAGTCTATAACAGAGTAAAACCTAATAGTTCGACTGGTTAGTATCGATAATATTCCTCGTCTCCACCACATTCATATCAACATTGTTGGACCGTAACCAATTTCTAATGGTTACACGCATAAATTAACATGTATAGATAGATTTACGCATCCACGAGGTTCGAACCCGTGACCTATCAGTTATATGCAAGGCGCTTAACCAACTAGACCATAGTGGTATGACTTAAATTGACTCATGATTTCAATCAGTGAAATTTCTAAAATCTGCACAAATGTCCTTCTGATATATTGTTATATGTTTAGAAAATAATATGTATATAAGTCTATAGAGTCTATAGACTCTATAGAGTCTAATAGAGTAAAACCTAATAGATTGACTGGTAATATCGATAAGATTTCTGGCCTCGCAAGATCTGAACTCAGGACATATCAATCTCTGGATTGTGGATACGCAGTGTTGAGGAGTCTCATAATAGGAAGAAATGCCTGTCCAATGTTTTCATGTTTTCCATCGAGGTTGAGCTTCAATTAATCCATGAATTGAACTATTGAAACTACTATAATATCCACAAAGACTACGTCTTATATATAAATTTTATTGATATGATCTTATTCCATCACTTAGTGTGAATGTCATAGTTCTACATATGGTCTGTCGTGTAATGCATACTACATCTTTAACACTCATTGATGTCGGATAGGAACTTTTAAGAATATCATTCTTGTCAAAATGTCAGATAATACGTTTTGGACAGGATGAAACTTAGATCTAGGACTATTAGTTGATTATCTTCAAACGTCTTAAATCGGACAAATAAAACTTCAACATCTGATCATTTATATAAGTGTATGTACTGTTGACTAGTGAGCGTGATACTAGTTACTATGAGGTGATAGTATGTTATGAACCTTCCTCTTGAACGTAACGTGTTAACAGTCTAGTCAATATATATTGTAAGGGGCGGTGTCCGAAATCTGAGACTGATAGACGATTTGATACGCGCTACAACCCCCAGACTGACTACTTGAGCGTGAAAGTATGTTGAACTAGCGAATAAAATGCATATGTCAGTCAGTCACTTACAAAGTAGGATCAGGCACATATATGTATCGGTTCAAGTGGCCATACCTCATTAGCACAGCAAGACCAACACAGGATTCATAGAAGTAGTTAATTCAATCGTGGTAATTAATAAGTGAAATATTTATATAGGAATATAGTACAGAAAGAAAGGATTAGTTGGTACAAAGAAAGATATGAAGCGATTTCAATCTCACAGTTTATTGGTAGACAGAGCGTGTATACACCCATACCATTGTGATCGATCGATTCTGAGTCACGTCACTCACAAAATGATTAAATACAGGTTTTATTGAAAGGAGCAGGTCTTTTAGGATATATTATAAACTTGTTTGATTGCTGACTGGTCATGTCATTTCCTCTCAAAACGTTTGACGCATATTAATATTTACGCACCAATATTCCACATTGTAGCAACAGCATGACTTGTCAAATAACACAGTTCAACGGAGGATCTGACGTCATGTCTTATTTTTTAACTAGTCTCCAATCTGGCTGATTCCATGTATTAGTACACTTTAGTTTGATGTGAAGTTGTTGTCGAGTTTCTTTGCTTGAACACACAGACACTGATATATTTGCCTACAATTAGTGAGCACTGACAATCTTTAAAATCTGGTAACATGTAAATAAGCATGTGTGAGTGTGTGTGTGCATGTGTCGATGTTGTCATTATCGTCATCATCTTTGTTGTTTGGCTCTCTTCACCATTTTCTCCTTTTATTTGATCTCCTCACTGTTTTTCCCACCTACGGATATTTTTATATTGTTTGTTTGAAATGGTTGTTTTAAAAATAATCCTCAAATAAGTAGTATTTTTTGTTCCTATCAAAATTATTTTTTCTTTTGATGGATTGTTGTCTTCTCAAATGTCAAGTGAAGCTTTATTGTCGAGTTTATTAGTATGGTTGTCATTTTGCAAGTCAGAGTAGAGGTGAGGATGATATTTCACTTTTGAGAGCCTTTTTAAGGATTCTTTAATAAACTAGTCCATTAGATAAATAGTTTAAATCTATGTTACACAACTAAAGAGTATGACAATATAAGGCAGGCATGAATAAAATTACCAATGTTATATGTGAAAAATGATGATCATTCTCATCTGTTTCTATAGAACTACTTGAAGATGATGTGATTTGTAAATAAGCCAAATCAGTTAATGAAGGTCAGAATGAGTTGTAGTAAGACTTTTATCAATATAATAATATTAGCAGTAGTGATTATACCAACGTTGTGTGAATTCAGTATGTAATAAATGCGGTATAGTCAAGTTAATTACGATGAAGAGGAATCAATCTGAATTGGGAAAGATGAATGGGAAATTTAAGAAAGATATAAACACAAAAATAATTTGGATAAGAGGTTCTGAATACGAATTACTACCGAGCTAATTAAGCTCTCTGTGTGAGTGAGATTAGTTACATCAATGTTTTGTTTGTGCATTCTTTAGAGTTCAGATAATTCTCAGAATACCTAATGATCTAGTTCCAGATGGACAGAAACATAGATTCTCATCTCACAACCACCGTTAGTTCCCTAAAGTTAAGTGATACATCTTTTTGATCATTGTCAACTAACACAATGCAAAAGTTTATAGGCTCCTCTCGATTGCTTTCAATTACTGAACATTGAACCTTATAATATGCAACGACAAGAATGATGGTGACGCTACAATGGAAAAATTAAACAAACATGACTCAGGTAATCAGTCAGTTCACACATGGGATTAATGAACTCATGGTTTACCTGTATTTGTAAAATAACTAAGATATTCCCTTGATTATAAAGAATTATTGAACCTCAAATAAACTTGAATGATAGTGTTATATATTCTAAGTACATCTATAGATATTTAGTGATGGAATAGTTTGACCGTAAAATGCATGGAAATATCATTGTTCGCAGTAACAATGTAAATAACTGCAGTCAAAACGAAATAATTATACTGAGCAACACAGATGAACAATGAATGATGACTGTGGTGGACTTGAATTGCCTGAGCTTCAATAGAGAAGTAAAGCACACGGCACATAGAACATGGAAGAGACCATGATTATAGAGCAACTATTCAATAAGTTACATGAAAAGATACAACATCAACCTTCTGAGCAACTGATCTTCACTCTACAATCTCAATATTTGATCACAGTTTTTAATGTTGAATATCGTTTTATCAAGTGAATTGTAATGTGATCGTCAGAAATCAATTCACTGGAAGAGCAGCTTTATGATAATCAAAATAGTGAATGTTACATATACATTTCCACTCAGAATTCACCACTCGTTGTATTATAGTTCATTCTGGGCTCAACTAAGAATTTGTTCTTTGCTTCAATCCCACCGATATATACATTAATTCATCATATTGGAGAAAGCAGAAACAATTATCGAACTAACTAAACTTACAGTAAAATTGATTACAAAGGATATTTGAACAAACCAGTCAACATTGTAAGAAGGTATTTTGTTGCGGGAAGGTGAGGCCGTGTGTAATTAATAACATTCGTATTCAGATTCAACCAGTGTATACTTTCCATCAAATATTTGTCTCAATGCATCTTGATCATAACCAAAACCATCTTTCACCTAGCCAACAATGATTTTCAACTTATGTGGCAATCAATATGGATTGATATTTTGCCAAACTGCTCCTGGTGCCGTAGATGATGATGATGATGAAACTTGTGACATGTATGCTGCCCTACTCCACTTAATATTCTGAATGATTTTCGCTAAGATCATTTTGAATGTGAAGATGAACACGACATGTTAATAGTGTAGTTGAGTTAATCTGAACATTCGTATGCATTAGACCATGTATTGAACTATGGTGTTTTGATGCACTGTTTGAATCTACTGATATTTGTATAAGTAGTAAAGAAATTAGTCAGTAATGTCCAACAGAAGTGACTGAAGCCGGACTTCATGTTCATCTTCACTTTATAGTTAAATCTTTGCCACTTTGTGGTAGATCAAATCGCCATTTTCGAAAGCATCCAGATCATGAATGCCACTATGATCCTATTAAGAAATCTTCCAGATCGATTCGTGAATCTCTACAATATTGAAGTCAGTAGGCAATTAGAAGGAGATTAATTTCAGTTTAGAATTATTAGAATGAGGAAACATATAGAATAATTTGACTTTTTTAAAAAAATTACTCTCCTGAATCACATTAGATGCATAGAACGAGTACTCTCTGAATGATACAATTTTCCGGGAATCGAATTATCATTCAACATATTGTTAAGTAAGTCAGACAATTAAATGATGAGTGAATAGCAAAATATCACAATATTCAATCTGTGTAGATTTCGATTATTCAAGGCACAAATCAAACTAAATGAATAAGACGATGCCGCTTGAACCGAATGATACTGGTTTCGAGTCACAGAGGTAACATCAATTATGGGATGTAGGTATATCCAGCTGATGATTCACAAATAAGGAGAAAAGCGAATCATGGATTCCATCGCTAGTCACCAGTCATCTTTCCTGATAAATATTGAGGTAAATTGCTTGAAAGCTAGATGAGAACAAACGAACTTATTGTGTTCGAAATTCGAAATCAAACAATACCCAAGTACAAAAGGATCATTAAATTGTACAAACACCACAAACCTGTATGTCGTATGCAGTGAGGAATAAGATTTGCAAAACAATTGCGAATTCTATCTGATTCATCTC